CTCTCCTGGGGGTGACGCCAACTTTCCCGGGTTTATTTTAGGGAATGTGCCCGTTTTCCAAAAGCCAGGATGATTTTTGGGAGGGCGGTGGAGGGGTTGGGGATGTTTAACCCCGTTAACTGAGCTGGTGGATTTTTGGGAAGCAAAGCTGAATATCCAAGGAAAACTCAGCACAAGGCTCCCCCAGTCCATTTTCCCCACTTCCCAAAGGCCCATTTTCCTTGGAAGCGTGGCGCCGACTCTGGCTGTCATGTCCCATTCCCTGGCTGGTGTTAAACCCATGCCAGACGCTTATTCCTGTTTAAACAAGAAATAAAATCCTGCCGCAGCTTTCCAGGAGGAAAAGCTCTGGATTCAGCAAAATTCCACCTCCCTGGATGGGGCCAGCTGGGAATTCTTTGCCCTTGGAGCCCTCCCGGGTTAACAACGGGAGGCAGCATCATATTCCAACTGTAAATTGTCCTGGAATGTCATAAATAAAGCATGGCCGGAGCCGGGAAGGGAGCGGGAAGGAATTTGCTGCGTTCCCAGGAACAACTGGAGCTGCTGAATTTTTCATGGACAAGATGTTGCAAAGCGCCGCCAGTCAGAGCACGTTTGGTTCCTGAGGATCCGGGGCTTCCATCCCTGGATCTGCCACGGCCGTGGACGTTCCATGGTCGGGAATTTGCAGGAGTGCTCCCAGATTTTTCCAGGGGTGTTTGCATCCCTTTGGATCCCGCTGAAAGGAGTGAAATGTCTCCTGCTCTCCTTAAATCCTGGGAATTTTGGGATATTGACCGGTTAAGGGAGTGCTGGTGTCTGTTTTCCTGTTCCCTCCTGGTTTTCCCATCCCATCCCAGCCCCTGGAAAAAGGGAGGTGGAGGAATAGGAGGGAATTATGGATAAGCCCCGCTAATCGCTGGCTAATTAAAATGATGAAGTGTTTGTGTTGTCAGCGGCTCCTCGAGGAGGCTGGGGACATTCCAGAGGGGGATGGAGCCACTGGATCCCAAGAATCCCCTCCTCTGGCTCCATCCCGAGCTCCCACTCTGCTCAGATCCGCTGCTGCTTCCAAGGACCGTTCCTAAAAGGATGGGGACAGGTTGGACTCTGGGGGACACGGAAAGGGGGAAAACCCATCCTCAGCTGGAGCTGCCCCATCCCAGGATTTGTCCAATCTTGGAGGGGGCTTGGAGCAACCTGGGATAGTGGGAGGAGTCCCTGCTCAGGTCCCTTCCAATCCAGTTCCAGAATTCCATTGGTTTGAGATTTTTGGGAAGCACTGGGAGATGAGAAATCCAGGAATGGGAGCACTGGGTGATCTCCATAAATAAATCTTGGATTTCCATGTGGGATGGAAGGAATCAGGTGCCCAGGGGAGATGTGGAAGGGGCTCCATGTGGTGCTGGCATTCCTTGGAAGGCTCCATTACTCCAAGGCCTCTCCTTAGGACATTCCCATCCCATCCCATCCTCCCCAGGAGCCTCTGAACGATTGCAGCCACCCTGGCCATTCCCATGGAGTGTCCAGCTGCATTTGTGGGCAGAAATCCCCACAGAATGCTGGAAAGGGCTGGAAATGGGGTTTTCATCCAGCATCTCACACTTCCAGGGCTGGAGCAATTCCTGCCTTATCCCTGGGAGCTCTTCTGTAATTGGAAGCACCGAGCTTGTTCCGATGCTCTCCTTTATGAACGCGTCACTCCCGATTTCAAAGGACATTTCCTTTATCCCTCCCTTCCCCCTCTCCTCCCCCTCCTTCCCTTTTCCCTTTTTTTTAAATCCCCCTTAAACTGGATGGTGCCAGAATTCCCAGCGATTGCCAGCAAAAATATCCTCTCCTCCCCAGGGCTGCCATCTAATCAGAGGGATGAATTTCCAGAGGGCCGAAGCCGATCCGGGGGAGGCCGGGCCCGGCATTCTCTGGAAAATCTCGGATTGAAAAGAGCAAAGGGGAAGCGGAGCGAGGCTGAGAAGGGGACGCTGATAAAGGGACGCTGATAACGCGAGGGATGACAGAAATTCGGGATGGGCTCTTCCTTTTGGAAGAGTTCTGCCCACCCAGCCATTCCCGTCACGGCCGCTTTGTTCTCCTCAGTAAATCCCAAAAAAAAAGGGAGCCGAGGGAGGCTCTGGAGCAGCGCTGGCACCTGGCAGTTGTTCCCTGTCGGGAGGCGAAGGGAAGCGGAGGATGAGGGATGGGATTCGCACGTCAGGCGCAGCCAAGCAGCGGGGTCTGGACGGCTCCATCTGGATTCCTGCTTTATTTTCCTTTGTTTTCCCGCTTTTCCCCCTCCCCTCCACGCATCCTTGGCCGGCTCCTGTGGGCACTCGGCATCTGTTTCCCTCTCCCTCTTCTCTCCTTCTTTTCCGCAACTTCTGGGCTGGTTTTGCACTGGATTTGGGCAGGGGTGCTCTTGGAGCGTTTGAGTTTTCCCCTTCCTGCCTTTTCCAGGCCCAGTCAGGGCTCTGGATCGCTGTCCGTGGGATCCTGATCCCACAGCACCACAGCAATAAATCCTGGAACTCCAGAGCTTCCATGCAGGAGAAGCTTGGGAGCATCCTGTGGTTCCACGCTGGTGTTTTTAGGGATCAAATGTCTGGATTTAAGGCCCAGCCAAGCCACAGTTCCCAGGAATAGGAGTGGAAGCTGCTCCCAATGCCAGCTCTGAGTGGTTTTCCAGCACATGGAGGAAGCAGAGAGAGGAAAAATTCCAATTTTGGGGGTTTTTCTTGGCCACCCAGAAGATGCAGGTCAGGGATGGGTTTGGAGGGGGATTTCCTTGGCAAAAATGCCTGGATGTGTGGATTTGCTGCATGGGAGTGGCTGGGGCCATCCCAAACTTGGTTCTTTTTCACTTTAAAAATCCACCAAAAATCAGGGAAAGGTCCAAACACCACCAAAAGCCTTGGATGGACTGGGATGGGGATGGATCCCTTTCCCATGGAAGTGCAGGGGTCTGGAAGGGAATAATGTAGGAAGAGGGATGGAAAACATCTGGAAATGCTGAGCTGGGAACTCCTGGATCCCACGGACAGGGAGAAAATCCAATCTCTGCTCTGGACTGCGGTGGGGATGGTTTTGCATGGAAGTGCACGGGTCTGGAAGGGAATAACGTGGGAAAAGGGATGGAAACCACCCAGAAACGCTGAGCTGGGAACTCCTGGATCTCCGCATCCCACGGACAGGAGTGAAAATCCAATCTTTGCTCCAGCTTTGCCAGTTCCTCCGCGGCTCCCTTTAATCTCCGGCTGATCCGGGGGAAGGCGGGAGCTGCGATCCCGGCCGGGGGCTCCATGGAAAGGCGGGAGCTGCGATCCCAGCCGGATCCATGGAAAGGCGGGAGCTGCGATCCCAGCCGGGGGCTCCATGGAAAGGCGGGAGCTGCGATCCCAGCCGGATCCATGGAAAGGCGGGAGCTCTTCCGCACGCACGGAGGCTCCATCCCGAATTCCTCGGGGCGGATCCTGCCGCGCTGCCAAGGATTTGCTCATCCCCCTCCTTCCCCGCCGCTTTCCCGTGCCTGTTGCTCATCCCGGCGTTCGGAAATGTCAGGAGCCGAGCGAGGGGAACCGGGGCAGCCGGAGAGACCTCGGCTGCCCTTCCTCCCTCCCTCCTCCTCCTCCTCCTCCTCCTCCCGTTCCTGCCTTTTCCATCCGCACGGTCCCGAATCCAAGGGGCCCTCGTGCAGCCTTGGCAATCGCAGGGATTTAATCCCCGCTTTAGGAACAAAAATAAACCCTGGACAGGCAGGGAGAGGCTGGAAAGGAGCCGGCCCCAGGCAGGCTGGGAATGTTGACCAGGATTTGGGTCGCTCCCAGCTAGGAAAACCAGGATTCTGGGATGCAACAGCAAAAATTCCCTCGTTCCAAGCATCATTTGGAGCTGAAAAGAGATTTAACCTTCAGCCCTACCCCCAAACAGTCCCCAAAATCCACTTTTCCCCCTGTGTTTCCTTGTGCAGAGCTGTTCCCGCAGCCCCCAAAAGCAGCACAAAACGGGATTTTCCGGCTTTTTCCCGGTGTTCAATATTCCAGGCCACGCTGCCCGGCTGCCGCAGCCCGCACGTGTTCCCGGAGCGTGTTCTCCCGCAGGTCGTGCCTGGGATTTATGGCACAAACACCTCCAAGTTGTTTTACAAGGAATGCTGAGCCTCAGGATCGCCGCCTGGGAGGCACAAAAAATCCTGGGAATTCACCTTCTGCCCTCCCAGGCCATCTTCCTCAAAGGAATCTCTGATTTCCAGCCCCATTTCCAAACCTGCTCCTGTTTCCCTGACTTTTTCTCGGCTCTTTTCCCACCTGGTGCGAGGAGAGATTAAAAAAAAAAGGAATTTGGATTGGGTGAGGGGTTTTTTTTTGTTGTTTTTTTTGGGATGTCCCGGTGTCAAACAGGGAAGGATGCCTGGGATTTGCCAGGCTGTCAATCCATCAATTCCCAACAGCTGCAGGAAAGGCAGGAAAACAAACCAGGAATGCAATTCCTGTCCTTGCTGCCCCCCCGGCTGCTCCCTGCTCCCAATTTCCCAACAAATCAAGGGGAAAGAGGGAGAAAAGGAACGGATGGAGCTGCCTGGGCTTTGATTTTCCCTCTGGATCGAGGACGGATTCAGAATCCGGCCATGGGGAGATGGGGAAGGAGCTGAAAAAGGAGCTGGATGAGGGTTGTGCATCCTCGGGGGAAGCTGTTGGGGAATTCCCACTGGGAATGATGAATTTGGGAAGTTTTGTGCAAGCACAGGGCAGGGAATGGGGAGAGACGATGGAGCCCAAAGCAAACCCGTAGGAAGGACGGGAATTTGCAGTGGGAATGGTGGCCGCTGGGATTTTCCCAAATTCAGGAAGGATTTCCTTAATTTTGGCTTTTTTGGCATCATTGGGGGCGGCCCTGTGAGGGGTCAGGGCTTTCCCTGGCATCCAACAGTGCCATTAACCCATAAAATTCCTGGTCACCACCAATTCCAAACTTCCCTGGGGCTCAGCTCTCTTTCCCTGCCTTTTTTCCCCCCATTTTTCCAGGATATCTGACCGTCAGCATCGAGCCCCTGCCCCCGGTGGTGGTGGGAGACGCCGTGACCCTGAAATGCAACTTCAAAACTGACGGGAAAATGCGGGAGATCGTCTGGTACCGGGTGAGCTCCGACGCCTCGGGAATGGGAATGCGGAGCCGGCCGGGAACAGAAGGTCAGGGCTGGATGAGGCAGGAAAAGCAGACGGAGCTTGGGCTGATGGGAATATCAATTCCTGGGAGGAGGAGGAGGAGGGAGGCAGCTGGGCTGGACTCGGGAAATGAGGCTGGGAGGGATGCAGGATGGATTTGGGATCATCGGGATTTGGGGTCATTGGGATTTGGGATCATCGGGATTTGGGATCATTGGGATTTGGGATCATCGGGATTTGGGATCATCATTGGATTTGGGCTTCACGTGGAGTCCCCATCCTTTTTTTTTTTTTTTTTTTTTTTTTTTGGAGTGGCTGCCAGGTGGGTTTAGGGATGGCTCGGGATTGAGTTGGGATTTGGAGCTGGAGCTGAGGTTGGCACCGCTCTGCCAAGAGCTTGGCGGGTGGAAAATGATGGGGAAAAGGCAGGAATGGGGAAAATCTGGGATATCTGGGGTTTGGGGGGAAGTTTGGGGTTCTTCATGTAGAGCTTTTAAAAAAACCCCAAACTTTCCCTGTTCCCAAAATATTTGGGAATTTGGGACGTTGAATGGGAGGGAAGCTCCTGGTTTTATTTGGGAAAGGGGAATTTGGAGTCTGGTTTTATTTGGGAATGGGGATTTTGACGGCCAGTTTTATTTGGGAAAGGAAGGATTTGGAGCCTGGTTTTATTTGGGAAAGGGAGGAATTAGGAACCTGGCTGTATTTGTGAAAGGGGGGAATTTGGAGCCTGGTTTTATTTGGGAATGGGGAATTTGAGGGCCAGTTTTATTTGGGAAAGGAAGGATTTGGATGTTGTATTAATTTGGGAAAGGGAGGATTTGGAGGTTGGTTTTATTTGGGAGAAGTAAATTTGGGGGGCAGTTTTATTTGGAAAGGGGCATTTGAATGTTGATTTTCTTTGGGAAAGGGGAATTTTGAGACCAATTTTCTTTGGGAAAGGAAGGATTTGGAGCTTGTTTTATTTGGGAAAGGAAGGATTTGGAGCCTGGTTTTATTTGGGAAAGGAAGGATTTGGAGGCTGGAGCTGCTTCTGGATCATCATTCCTGAGCCTTGATCCAGCCTCAGGTTCACCAGTCCTGAGCTTTCTCCAGGGAAATTTGGGATAAGCTGCCAACCACAAATGGTTTTATCCAAGAAAACCTGAGGTTTTCCAGGGAAAACTCCTGGAGGAGGCAAAGAGAGGGCGAGTGCTGCCAGTGGCATCAGATGGAGCAGCTGGGAATATTTTTCCTTGGATTTCCCATCCTGTTCCTGCTCCCTGCCCAAGGAGCTGCCCTTCCCTAACGCTCTCCTCCATTTCCAGGTTTATGAGCAGGGAAAGGATCGGTGCAAATCCATCTGTTGGAATGTGGTGTGTGCACAGGAACATCTCCATGGAATCCGAGATGGATTTTCCTATAATTATTTATGGCTGGACCCCTAAATGTTGGACAGGCAGGGAACAGAACCCCAAACCTGCCCCGAATCCAAAATCCCAGCTTGGAATTGGTTTCACCTCCCTCCTTTTTTTAGGGAGGAATTTTTTTTTTCTGCTGGCTCCGCCGTCTCCACCAGGTTTTTCCTTCCCTTTTCCACTGGGTAATATTGGATTAACCCACTTTCCCGGGAGCGGGATTTGCATAATCCCCCCTGCGAGCAGGGATGTGGGAGCGGCTGCTGCTCCGGAGCAAACGATGCTCCGAGAAACCTCGGAGGCAAAGGGAAGGGCAGAAATATCCCAGCTTGGATTTTCATCCCCACAAATCCCCCCTTTCTTCCAGGGGTTTTTACCCCTCCTTCCCTCTTGCTCCTTTCCCAGGAAGTTTCCCAGGTTTGGGAAGTTGGGTTTTTGGTGGAGCAGCTCAGGATTTGCCCAATTCCTTCCTGATTTTAAGGGGTTTTTTTTCCCCGTTTTTCTCCCTGTCTTGCCTCACTCCCGGACTTTTGCAGCTTCCCAAAGCTCCGGTGGCAGCTCCAGGGTGTCGGAGGTGATGGATGGATCTGGGAGAGCCGGGGCGGAGCCTCTGGAGCTGTGGGTTCCGTTCATTCCACCCGTAAATCACGGGAATGTGGCTCCGGAGCGCTGGATTGGGGTCACGCCCGGCTCCTCGTTCCCGTGATTTATTGGACAGGGAGCAGAGGGAGCTCCTGGAGTCTGAGGGATCTGAGCTGCTCCAGGGGCGGGAAGGGGCAGGGAAAAGGGGGAGAGAGGAGGAAAAGTCAATGGCAGCGCTTTGGTGGGGATTGGAGTTGGGAATAACCCCCAGGATGGATCCCGTAGGATGGATCTGTAACCCACATGGTACATCCATAACGCCTGGGATGGATCCATAACCCTTGGGATGGATCCATAATCCATGGGACGGATCCATAACCCTTGGGATGGATCCATAACTCACAGGATACATCCATTACCCCGGGGATGGATCCATAACCCCTGGGACAGATCCATAACCCCTGGGATGGATCCATAACTCCCGAGTGGATGATCCCATTGGGATCTGTGCTCTCCAAGGCTGAGGAGCCTCATCCCATGGGTGAATCTCCATGGAGAAACCCCACACTGGAACCAGCACCCACAATTCCAGCAATTCCCCTGGATTCTCCAGGGATGAGGGACGGACAGGGACAACCCTTTCTTCCTGCTGGGAAACCCCTCAGCTGTTGGAATGCCGCCGGTTTCAGCATTCCTGGGACGAGCAAAGGGAATTTTTCCCAGAATAAACAGGAACACATCCCTCAGGCGGAGGCGTTAATTAACATCCCACAATCCCAACACCTCCGCAAGGTGTGATGTTCCCGGGAACAGGTGCGAACACGGATCTGCACCTGGAGAGCTCCTGAGAAAGCCTTGGCGGGAGATGGGGGTGGCAGAATCCGCCCGGAATGAGGCTGGGAACACCCAGAGCTGTTCCTTGGTCCCGCTGCCGGCGGCCCCGGGGTTGCCCCGGATTTGTGTGGTTGGTTCCAGGATGGGAACTGGGAAAATTCCTTCTTTTCCCAGTGGAGCTCGGGAAAAAAAAAAGGGAAGCAGGAGTGGGAGGGGAAATCCTTGGAGGCTCCAATCCAGCCCCGTGCAGCAGGAAGGGAAGCGGAGCTGGATTGGGCTGGGCTCGGAGCATGGGAATTTGGGAATTGCAAATGGGGTTTGGTGGATCTGGGGTGTCCGAGCAGGGCCGGACACCATTCCCTGGTGCTGCGTGGGATTCCTGGGATGTCCGGGAATGAAGGGTGGGAATGGAGGGGAGCCCACAGGGCTCTGCCTCCATTAATTAGAGTTTGGTGCTCAGGGTAATTAGCGGGAAGGGAACGAACTGGAGCTGGGATTGCTGGGAGCAGGGCCCTGGCATTGCTCCTGGTAGTAACCTTGGAGTATGGGAAAAACCTAAATCCAGAGCATCCCAGGAGTTTTTCCCATTGGTTGTGATTCTCTGGGGAATGGGTGAGGGAAGCAGGAAAAAACCTAAACCAGGAGTTTTCCAGGATAACAAGTTTTTCCTGTTTGCTTCTCCTGGGAATGGGCAGGAAAATCCTAAATCTGGAGTTTTCCAGGATAGAGTTTTCCCGGTTGATTCTCCTGGGAATGAGCAGGAAAAAGTGAAACCAGGAATTTTCCCAGATATTGAGTTTTTTCCAGTTGATTCTCCAGGGAATGGGCAGGAAAATGCTAAATCTGGAGCTTTCCAGGATGAAGTGTTTTCCTGGTTGATTCTCTAGGGAATGGGAAGGAAAAACCTAAATCCAGAGTTTTCCAGAATAACAAGTTCTTCCCATTGTTGTGATTCTCCTGGGAATGGACAGGAAAAAAAATTCGGAATTTTCCAGGATAACAAATTTTGCCCAGTTGATTCTCCAGGGAATGACCAGGGAAAAAAATCTAAATCTGGAGTTTTCCAGGATAACAAATTTTTCCCAGTTGATTTTCCAGGGAATGGGTAGGAATATCCTAAATCCGGAGTTTTCCAGGATAACCAGTTCTTCTTGGTGTCTCTGACATGGACGCTGCACCCCCTCCTTTTCCCCACCAAACACCCGGAGTGCTGCAGCTGCTCCAGGGAATTTTCCCTCTTTCCAGAGCCATTTCCATTTGCTTGGAGAAAGGGAATCCATCGATCCGTCCTCGGGACACGGAGCCTGGATCAGATCCCAATTCTGCCCCTTTCATCCCACATCCATCACTTTCTGATGATTTTGGGTCCTTTGGGCATCCTGACGGGACGCTCCGGAGATTTTAATAGATTTTGGGAACAGCAAATGTCCATTTTAATGGATTTTGGGATTTGTTCAGGTCATTGTGGAGGGGAGGGCAGCAGGCGGGAATTTGGGTGGGAATGGAATTTTTCCTGGGATTTATGAATAATGCAGGAAGCAGCACCCATTTTATGTTCCTGTGCCCCTTTTCCCAAAATTCCTGGATGTGGAGACATCCATTGGGATGGGAACCATGGGATGCTGCCCAATTATCCTCCTTTTTTGATTCCCAGCAGGAAGAGTTGGGCTGCAAATTGCTATGGAGTTTCTCTTCCCAAAAAAATCTCCCCAGGTCTGGATAAAAGGCTGGAATTAGGGCTGATCCCTGGAGACAGAGAATTCCTGATGGGCCTTTTCCTGGAATTCCCTCAGGAGTGGAAGCTCAGGGAATGTGAGGATCCCCAGAGGGTGATTCCAGCTCCCCTTGGATGGGGCAGGATTTGGGCCCACATCTGTCCAGATGTGCTGAGAAAATCCCAAGGCTGCAAATTCCCAATCCAAAGGCGCCGCCTCCACCATTCCCAGCACTTCCCACCCTAAAAGAATCCCTAAAATCCCTTTGGATTTGGATCCCTTCTCCTTCTCAGGAGCAGCTCCCAAGTTTCTCTTCAAACCCAAAGAAAAGTCAGGAAAAATCCTTGGAAACTTCCCTGGAAACTTCCCAAGGCTGGAGATTTACAACTCCCGTCATTTTTCCCGCTTTTCTTCATCCCACATCCGTGCCAGGCTGGAATTTCTTTCCCATAAAAGCCTCAGCCTGGGATAATAAACTGGAAGAGTTTTTTTAGTGATGGATTTTTTTTTTCCTCCTTTTCCGCCACTTTTTGCCATAAAAAAAGAGGGAAAAGAGGAAAGGGGGAATAATAGCAGAATTTTGGCCAAGCGTTGGGTGGGGATCTGGGGCTTTGTCCCTGGGAAATGTTGAATTTGAGGATTAAATCCCAAAATCTTCTTCTGTTGTTCCTGGTTTAATTTAAAAAATGGGAATTTTCACTCTCTGGAAGCTGGTTTAGCCTCAAAATTCCCATTTCCCTCCATATTTTTCCACTAAAACTCCTCAAAAGCAGGGAAGATAAATCCAGAGGTGTTGGGAGGCACAGGGAACAGAACAGTAAAAAAAGCCATTTTCCATTAAAAAATTACAATTCCCAGCTGGAAAATGGAATAATTGCATGGAAAACATGGATTTCAGTTTCATCTCGGCAGAGGCATCATAAATCCATAAATTCCAAGATGAAAGACGCTGGGATTCTATGGATAAATGTGGAAATCGTGATATAATAAACACAAAAATTAAAATAAAAGCAAAAATTAAAATAAAAGCAAAAATAAAAATAAAATTCTAATGTATTTAAATGCATCACATAGAATATTAAAATAAATGTATTTACCGCATTTAATACAGATTAAAATTAAAATAAATTTATTCAAATCTAAATAAGTACCGAAATATAAAAAAATTATATCGAAATGCAAATAAATCTATTAAAATCTAAATAAATACATTCAAATTTAAACAAATCTATTTAAATAGAAATCAATTTATTCAAAATCTTGGAGTGAAAACCCTTTGAAATATTTCAAAAAGGGACGAAAATTCCCAGATTTGGGACACTGGGGCTGTTTCCCACAGGTCACTGATGGTGGCACCATCAAGCAGAAGATCTTCACCTTCGATGCCATGTTTTCCACCAACTTTTCCCAGATGGAAAACTACCGGAAGCGGGAAGACCTCGTTTACCAATCCACCGTGCGGTGAGTCCTTTCTCCCTATTAATGCAAATTTTTAGGGATTTTTTTCCCCAATTTTTGGCCCCGTTCAAAGCATTCCAGCAGAACCCGCGCCCCGTCCAAGCGTTGTTCCCGTTTTCCTGATGATTCTCAGGGAAAAGGTGGGAAAAACGGGGATTTTTAGAGGTGGGAATGGGCAGAGAATTCCAAAGATTGGGAAAATTGGGGAAAGCAGGTCCATATTTATTTATAAAACAGGCATGGGAGCGTCTCCTTGCTTTTATTCCAAGTGGGAATAACTTCCAGAATTCCAGGTTTATTCCTGATTCACCTGCTCCCTTCCCACTGCTCTAAAACCGGCTCTGGAGCTTGGAAAAAAGGTCAGGAGAGGCTTCATCCAAGGGGGAAAAAAAATGGGATGAAATTTCCCTTCCTCCCGGTTTCTTTCCAGTCTCGTTTCTGCAGGAAATGAGAATTTCCTGATCGGATTTTCCCAGCTCGTTTTTTCCGGCACGGGGAGTAAGAAAAACTGGGATTTCCTCCAGTCACGGGAGGTTTTCCCACCTGGAAATATCCGGAATGGCCTGGGAAGGGCCGGGCCTGGCTCATCCCATGGGATGAGCTGGTGGGAAGCGGGAAATCCTTCCCAATCCTCTGGAATTAATTTGGGAATTTTTGGGGTTTGTTTTTTTTTTTTTGCTGTTTTTCCCTGCTGCGTTTGGAGTTGGTTTTTCTCCTTAAAGAAAAGTGTGGGAATGAATGTGGATTCAGAGTGGGAAAAGGGGGCTGGGGAGGGAATATTATGGGATGGGTCAGGAGGATGCTCGGGCCCTGCTCAGGAAAGGCTCAGGAGGAGTTTGAGACGCTCAGGGGGGGCCAGGAGATGCTCAGGGATTACTCCAGGAATGCTCCAGGAATGCTCTGGAGATGCTCAGGGTGCCCGGGGGCCACTCAGGGGTCACTCAGAGGATACTCCAAGGTTACTCAGAGGATACTCCAGGAAGTTCAGAATGCTCACGTGGATGTTCAGGTAGGTCAGGAGTTACTGCAGGGTTACTCAGAGGATACTCAGGAGAGTCAGGGGACACTCAGGACACTCAGGGGTTACTCAGAGGATACTCCAGAAGCTTGGGATGCTCACATGGATGTTCAGGTAGGTCAGGAGGTACTCCAGGGTTACTCAGAGGAGTCAGATGATGCTTGGGATACTCAAGGGTTACTCAGAGGATGCTCCGGGGATGCTCTGGAGATGCTCCAGGGATGCTCCATCCCTGTTTTGTTTCCCTGGATCCACAGAGCTTCTCCTCGGATGCTGAACACATTCCTGACTCCTGTGTGGAGAAGGTTTTGGCAGCTCCAGGCAGGAATTTCACATCCCTGACTCCAGGGCTGTAAATCCAGTGCTTCCCTTGGGATTTGGCCATCACTTGCCTCCAGATGGGAAAATCAGGGAATTAAAGTGGATTAAAACATTCCCTGTGTGCGGAATGAAGGATCAGGAACATCCCTGGAGCAGGAGCAAGGATCAAACATTCCATGGAATGAGGGATCGGGAGAATCCCTGGAGGAGGAACAAGGATCAAACATTCCCTGTGTGTGGAATGAGGGATCGGGAGAATCCCTGGAGCAGGAGCAAGGATCAAACATTCCCTGCTCATGGAATGAGGGATTGGGAGAATCCCTGGAGCAGGAGCAAGGATCAAACATTCCCTGCTCATGGAATGAGGGATTGGGAGCATCCCTGGAGCAGGAGCAAGGATCAAACATTCCCTGCTCTTGGAACGGGGGATCAGAAGCATCCCTGGAGAAGGAGAACAAGGAATCACCCATTCCCTGATCATGGAATATTTCCCAGACCCGACAAGGAAAAGCTCCCACTTTTCCTGGCTCCAGCTCTCTGTTTTCCTCCCTTTCTTCACACGTTGTAGAACGAATGGAATTTGGGAGCAGAAAATTCCCCCACCCCAGCACCAGGCACTTGAAGGCCTCGGGAATATCCAGGAAATTGGGCATGGAGCCGGGAGATGCTGGCAGGAAAAGGGTTTTCATGGCATGGCCTTTTTTTTCCAAGGAAAACAGGAGCCAGCCTGAGGAGATCATTCCCAGAGCCTGTTTTCCCAGTCACTGGAATTTTTTGGGAAGGTCCTGCTGGATTTTGGGCTCTCCCAAAGAACTGGGGCAAACCCGGGAAGGGTTTGGGGATGGAGGAAGCATTTCCCCATCCAGGTTTTTGCTCCTGTTCATTCTCCCTTTCTTTTTCCATCTATTTGTTCTCTCTTGCTTTGGGAATCTTTGCCGCGGTTCAGGCACAGCTGGAGCCATCCCAAGGAGTTTTATCCCAGGAGGAGCCGTCCTTATCAGCGTTATCCCGGTCCTTATCAGCATTATCCCCATCCTTATCAGCATTTTCCCCATCCTTATCAGCATTTTCCCGGGCAGAATTGTCCCGGGAGAATCCAGCCACATCTGCATTTTCCCCGTTTCTTATCAGCGTTTTACTCAGGTGGAGCCAGCTTTTATCAGCGTTTTCCCGTCCCAGAGAACGTTATCCCGGGAGAAGCCGGCCACATCTGCGTTTTCCCGGTTCCTTATCAGCCTTTTCCCGCTCCTTATCAGTGTTTTCCCGGCCTTATCAGCGCAGCCCAGGGGCTCCAGCGCCGCCTCTTTCCAGCCTGGCTCTGTGCCGTGAAGAGCAAAGCTGGGAGAGATCCAATCCCTCCAATCCCGTTTTTTTTTTCCCCTTTTCCTTGATTAAAATCCCACTCTCATCAGGAATTCCCAAATCCCTTTTTCCCTGTATTTCCAACTCCAGGACACACCAGGGAGCATTTGCCTTTCCAGGGCCAGTTGTTCCCTATCTCTCATCCTTGGGAATTCCAAACCGAGCCAGCCAGGCCCCAAAATCCGCGTGCAAATCCAAAGGAATCCTTCCAAAAGGGCTGGAGGGGGATCGGAGCCGCTCCGAAATGCTGCTAACGGGAGATTCCCGATCCGTGCGTGGATAATCGGAGCCTGGAACAGGTGGTGGAGGCTCGGTTGGAAGTGTTGTATCCATGGAAAGGAGGGAATGTTCACTTCCAGGAGGATCCTTGGAGTGGGAAGGCGGCCAGGGGCTGGGAGAAGGGAAAAGCGGAGCTGGAATCCCCCCGGCAGGGAAAATTCCCCTGGGTGGGATTTTTAACTGGGGCGCTCCATGAGGGAATCACTCCTGTCCACATGGGATGGGTGAGGTGGGATGAGGCTGCTGGAGAGGAGGGATGGATCTCCTGGAATAGGGAATGCTGCCATCCAGAAGATGGGATGGATCTCCTGGAAGAGGGAATGCTGCCATCCAGAAGATGGGATGGATCTCCTGGAATAGGGAATGCTGCCAGCCAGAAGGTGGGATGGATCTCCTGGAATAGGGAATGCTGCCAGCCGGGAGGTGGGATGGTGCTGGGATGCTCTTCTCCACCACAGAGGAATGGCTGTGCCAGCTGGAAAGGTGGAAAGTTGCTGGAAAAGCTGGATGCGGCTTCTGGATGGTGGGGTGGGATAATGGTCCTGACTGGAAATGCAGGATGCTTCCAGCAGGAGAAGTGGGATAATGACAACTGGAAAGGTGGGATGTTTCCAGCTGGAGAAATGGGATAATGACAACTGGAAAGGTGGGATGTTTCCAGCAGGAGAAATGGGATAATGACAACTGGAAAGGTGGGATGTTTCCAGCTGGAGAGGTGGGATGATGCTTTCTGACCGGAAAGGCAGGATGTTCCCAGGCAGTGAGGTGGGATGATGCCAACTGGAAAGGCGGGATGCCACCATCCAGTGAGGTGGGATAACGCTTCTGACTGGAAAGATGGGATGCTTCCAACTGGAAATGTGGGGTGTTTCCAGCTGGAGAAGTGGGATGATGCTTCTGACCGGAAAGGCCGGATGTTCCCAGGCGGTGAGGTGGGATGATGCCAACTGGAAATGTGGGATGCTTCCTGCTGGAAAGGCAGGATGCTGCCATCCAGTGAGGTGGGACAACGTTTCCAACCAGAAAGGTGGGATAATGCTGCCAACTGGAAATGTGGGATGTTTCCAGCTGGGAGAAGTTGGGATGAGGCTTCCAGCCGGGGAGGTAGGAAGTCACAGACCAGCAAGGAGAGATGGGACCAGCTGGACAGGTGGGATGATGATGCCTGGAAATGTGGGATGCTCCCAGCTGGAGAGGCGGGATGGGATATTGGCTGGAAAGACAGGATGGTCCCAGCTGGAGAGGCGGGATGGGATATTAGCTGGAAAGGCAGGATGGTCCCAGCTGGAGAGGCGGGATGGGATACTGGCTGGAAAGACAGGATGGTCCCAGCTGGAGAAGCGGGATGGTGCTGCCATCTGGGAGGGAGGGATGGTGCCAGCTGGCACTGTGGGGTGGGATGGGATGGGATGGTGCCGGCTGGTGAGGCAGGATGGTGCTGCTGAACGGAAAAGTGGGATGCTGCCAGCCAGAAAAGTGGGATGCTGAGGATCAACAAGGTGGGATGCTGAGCATGCTGAGGACCAAAACAGTGGGATTCTGAGGAGCAGAAAAGGGGAATGATGAAGATAAGAAAGGTGGGACAGTGAGGACCGGAAAAGTGGGATTCTGGGGATCAGAACTGTGGGATGCTGAGGAGCACAAAGGTGGGATGGTGAGGATTAGAAAGGTGGGATTCTGGGGATCAGAAAGGGGGGGATGGTGAGGACCAGAAAAGTGGGATGCTGAGGATCAACAAGGTGGGATTCTGGAGATCAGAATTATGGGATACTGGAGAGCAGGAATGTGAGATTCTGTGGATAAGAAAAGTGGGATTCTGAGGAGCAGAAAGGTGGGATGGTGAAGACTAGAAAGGCAGAATTCTGGGGATCAGAATTGTGGGATGTTGAGGATCAGAAAAGTGGGATACAAAGGAGCAGAAAGGTGGGATTCTGGGGAGCAGAAAGGTGGGATTCTGGGGAGCAGAAAGGTGGGATGCTGCTGGCCAGGGAGCTGGGATGCTGCCCATCAGCCAAGTGGCCCCTGTGCAGCCTCCCAAGCATTCCCAGCTCCAGCAGCACGGATCCTTTGGCACAGCTCCTCCTCTCCTGTTTTCCCCAAGTCTATCTAAAGCCTCCAGATAAAAGGTGGATCGATGAGCGCTCTGGGTTCACTGGGAGTTTGGGATTTGCTGTGCTGGGGTGGCCTGGCAGAGCCGGTGCCAAGGTTTCCCATTGGCATCTGCGGGCAGGCAACGTCTGTGGCCATGGATTTGTGCTCCATCCACGTCTCCTTCCAATAACGCAATTCCTTCCCCTCGGAGGAGCTGTCAGTGCCAGGGAACTCCGGCTGCTAAAGCATTCCCGAGCTCCTCCCACAGCCTTTGGAGTTATTAAGAGTTTATTGATCCCTGTCCAACGCTGCACTGTCCGGGTGCCGATCGATGAATCCCAGGGGAAAACGGGGTGGGGATGGAGTGGTGAGCACTGTCCCTCCTCCACAGCCTTCCCGAGGTCCGGATCTCGGACAACGGTCCCTACGAGTGCCACGTGGGGATCTACGACCGAGCCACGCGGGAGAAGGTGGTCCTGGCCTCCGGGAATGTGTTCCTGAATGTGATGGGTGAATGCCGGGATCGGGATCAAGGGAAAACCACTGCGGGGTCTCAGGGTGTGGGAACAGCAGGGATTGGGATTGTCCTGCCATACTTGGGGGTAGGAATGGGTGTGGGAATGGGGATGGGGTAATGGGATTGGGATGGGATGGGATGGGATGGAATGGGATGGGGATGGGATGAAATGGGATGGGATGGGGATCAGGATAGGTATGGGGACAAGGACAGGGATGGGGATGGGATGGGGACAAGGACAGGGATGGGATGGGATGGGATGGGATGGGATGGGGACAGGAATAGGGATGAGGATGGAATGAGGATGGGGACAAGGACAGGGACGGGGACAAGGACAGGGACGGGGACAAGGACAGGGACGGGGACAAGGACAGGGATAGGGAATAGGATAGGAACAAGGACAGGGATGGGGATGAGGGTGAGGATGGTGTGGGGAGAGGGATGAGGATGCCCATGGGGATGGGAATGGATATGAAGATGGGGATGGGACATGGATAGGGACAGGGATTAGGACAGGGAATAGATTGAGGGTGGGGACAGGGATGGGAGCAAAGATGGGCATGGGAATGGGAACAAGGATGAGGGCGGGGATGGGGATGAGGACGGGGGTGAAGATGAAGGACGAGGATGGGATGGGGGTTGTTGAGGACTCCATGCTGACCTCCTGGCTCTGCCCCTGCAGCTCCCCCGACGTCCATCTCGGTGCTGGCCGCAGACACCCCGGCGCCCTTCAGCCGCTACCAGGCGCAGAACTTCACCCTGGTGTGCGTGGTGTCCGGCGGGAAGCCCGCGCCATTGGTGAGCTCCTGGCGGGACCATCCCTCCCCCGGCACATGGGATAACCCAACACCTCCTCTGTGAAATCCACCAGATCCTTGCGCTCTTCCATCAGGCCAAACCCGCTCCCCAAACCCCATCTTTCCATGGAGACCGTGGGATTTGGGAGTGGGGAAAGGACCAAATCTTCAGGATTCAGGAGCAGGGAACCAGCCAGACCTTTGGGATTTGGGAGTGGGGAAAGGTCCAAACCAAATGTTTGGGACTGGGGAGCATGGAATGAGCCAAACCTTCAGGATTTGGGAGTGGAGAAAGGACTAAACCTTTGGAATTCAGGAGAGGATGAACCAAACCTTTAGGATTTGGGAGAGAATGAACCGAACTTTTGGGATTAGGGAGAAAATGAACCAAACCTTCAGGATTTGGGAGTGGAGAATGAACCAAATCTTTGGGATTTGGGAGTGGAGAATGAACCAAATCTTTGGGATCTGGGAGTGGGCAAAGGACCGCGGGTTCCATCCAAAGGGGTGCTGAGGACACCCCCGCCGCACTCACGGTCCCCTTTGTCCCCTCCAGGTGTACTTCAAGCGGGACGGGGAGCCCATCGAGGCCACCCCGCTGCCGGAGCCGCCGGCCGGCGCCAGCAGCTGGGCCCCCCGGAGCCTCCTGCACCGCGACCTGGATGACACCAAGGTGCCGAAATCGCTGGCGGCCGACGGCGAGCTGGGAATGGGGAACCCCTTTCCCACGGCGGATGCGCCGCGGGGGCTGGCGGCCGAGCGGGATGCGGTGACGGAAAGCATTCCCGAGACGGTTGTGAGCCGGGAATTCCCGCGCTGGGTGCACATGGCCGAGCCCATCTATTACTTCCGGCACACGCACGCGCCCGTCAGCGACGGCACCGTCGAGGCCCGGGCCACCCTCACGTGGACCCTGAACCCCCAAATCGACAACGAGGCCCTCTTCAGCTGCGAGGTCAAGCACCCGGCGCTCTCCATGCCCATGCAGTCTGAGGTCACGCTAGGTAAACCAATGGGTTTGGGGCTTTTCCTGGGTTTTAGGCACTTTTGTCCTTTTTGCGGGATTTTCTTCTTTTTTTTTTTTTTTGGTTTTTCTGTTTTCATTTTTTGGACTTTCTCTACAGGTTTTGGCCTTTCTCTTCATTTTTTGGCCTTTCCCTCCCATTTTTTGCCTTTTCCACCCAGTTTCGGTCTTTTTTTTTTCTTCACTATTTTTGGCCTGTTTTCCTTTTTTCCCCTTGCTTTTTCCTTTTTGTTTCTTTACTTTCTTCTCAATTTTGGGGTTTTTAATTTTTTTTTCTTTTTTCTCCACTTTTTTTTTTTTTTTGGCTCCTTTTTATTTTTTATTTTTGACTTCTTTTCTTCTTTTTTTTTTTTGGCACTTTTCCCCCCGTTTTTCTGGAATTTTCCACAGGATTTTGTTTTTTGTTTTAATTCCACGTGTTTTGCTTTCCTTGCACCCATTTTCTCTCTCCTTTTGTCCTTTTCCTTTTCTTCTGGGAGCTTTTAGGCACGCGTGGGGATCCCATGGGGCTGCACTGGGATAGAGGTGGTGATGCCAAGGCTCCACAAAACTTGGGATGAGAGGAGGGAATCTGGGATGTCCATCAGGCAGGAGAAGAGATTTTCCAGGTGTTTATGGTCCTCCGGCCATGGGCAGTGTTTAGGGTGGGGTTTGCTGGGATTTTTGGGGAATCTGTGTCGTGGTGAGCAGGAAGAGGTGGAGGTTGGAGCTGCAGACGGAGCTGTCACCTCCATCCCAATCCCAGGAGATCCAAGGACATCCCATGACCCTTATTGGCTGCCACAAAGCTCATCCCAGTGGGAATTGCCAGGGAGGGAATTCCCGAGCTGGCTCCTGCCCATGGAGCTGTGACAGGCTGATGGGATTGAAGCCAGGGAATTTGGCTCCCCACATTCCCAGGCTCCTGGAAGAGCAGAAGCTCCTCAGGTGACCGTGGGATCCACGGGTCCATCACCATCTCTCACCCTGCCTGAGGCTCCCCTCCCCTCTCTTGCTCCTGCTGGAAGAGGCTGAGCTCTCCACGGGGTTTTCCAGCCTCAGGACATCCTCTGGAAAGGCTCTCCCAGCCTGCAGCCAGGTGGAGCAGCCCAGGCTTTGCTCCAGGCCAAGTGGAGCACTTGGCTCCTCATCATCTCCTGGAGAGCTTCTCCTTGGCTTCCCGACATCTTCGCATTAAATCTCTTCCCCAGCATCCAAAACGTACGGAAATCCTGCATTTTCCCACTTCCTGGAGCTCTTTGGGTTTAGATCCAAGATCAAGACCTCGTGGCTTTGCTGCTCTTGCCCAGGGGGTCCAAGACCTGGATTGGCAAAGCTCAGCCCACATTGTCCCCAGTCCCCAAATCCAGGGCTCTCCTCATCCCTAGGGGTGTCCCTGCAGCTCCTTGGGTGCCCATCCACTCCAGTTTTTTGGGAACCATCCCAGCAGATCCCCTTAACCCTTTCCCTACATCCATAGTATAAATACACACTGTGGGTATATATAAAATATAGATTCCCAATAAAAGAGAAGATATTCCCAATAAAAGCTGCATTAAACCCAACACCAACCCAAAAGCTGCCTTTTGGTCCCAATCAGGGTGTGGTGGGATCACCTTCAGTGCATCCCACCTGGTCCTGCTCCAGAGGGCCACATCCCACATGGAAAGAGCAGCCCATGGTCTCAGGGTGTCCAGGCAGAGCATCCCAGGGCAGGGATGGCCGTTCCAAGGGCTTCCAGTGTCCTCCACCACAGCTCTCTGGTGGCTCTTTGTCCCTCTGTGTCCTGATGGGGTCACTTCCAGGTGCATTTTGTCCCATCCATGACAAAGCTTGGATGGACAAAGGTGACACATCCAAAGCTCAACCTCGCTCCTGCCCATTTCCCCTTCTCACTCCATGGAAGTCCAGGGAGCTCCTGGGATGTCCCATCCCACTTCTGGCCCAGCAGGAACATCCAGACAGCCCCAGGTGGAAGCAGCAGCAGATCCTGTGTGGTGTCCCTCCATCCCAGCGGAGGAGCATCCCTAGTCTGGCATGAGAAAAGGCATTCCTGTTTTTTTCCACGCTGTCCTTGGGATTTTGTGCCAGCCAGGCTTTGGGGTTGGCTCCTGTGCTAACAGCACCTGGGTGAGAGTCACCAAGGCCGCATTTTTTGGGAATGTTCCTCTGAGGTGTCCATCTCCCTGGCTTCAAACCAACCTGATCCTTCTTGGCCTTTTTTATCCGAGCGGAGAAGGGTTTGGTTGGGAAATAACTCCTTCCCATCAATCCATCCCACCCCAGCCATCCATCAGCCGCACACTTCTCCCGTTCTCCCGCCCGGGGGGTCCTTCCCTCCCTGTCCATCCGTCATTCCGGTGTCACTCAGCCCGGCCATCAATCGTGGAGCTGCCACCCCTGGGCTGCCACCCCTCACCGGGATCATCCATCACAGCCTCGTTAACCCCTCCAAGGGCAGCCCCGGCACCGGGAAAGTCGCGCGGCGCTGACGGCTCCTCCTGTCCCCTTCCCGTGCAGTTGCTCCCAAGGGTCCGAAGATCACGATGACCCCGACGAGGGCGCGCGTGGGGGACACCGTGCGGATCCTGGTGCAGGGCTTCCAGGTCAGCATTCCCACGGCCACGGAGGCCAACGGACAGCCTTGATCCAAGGATGCGGATGTGGGCTTGCCTTGGTGGCCTTGGTGGCATCACGGTGCCGATGTTGGGATGGGTTGGCCAAAGTTGTGGCTGTTCCACCCTGGAAGTGTCCAGGGACAGGGTGGGTGGGGCTTGGAGCAATCTGGGACAGTGGAAGGTGTCCCTGCCCTTGGGATGGGATGGGAGGAGCTTAAAGGTTCTTTCTAACCCAAACTCAAACCTAGACTCAGACCCAGATATATTCACACCCAAACCCTAACCCAAACTCAGATTCAGACCCAAAGCCAAAGCCAAACCCAAACTCAAAACCAGGCTTAGACCCAGACCCAAACCCAAACTCAAACCCAGACCCAAACCTAAATCCAAACCCAAACTCAAACCCAGACTTAGACCCAGACCCAAACCCAGACCCAGACCCAAAGTCAGACCCAGATCCAAGCTCTGACCCAAATCCAGACCCAGACCCAAACTCAAGCTCAGATTCAAACCTAAACCCAAACCCAAACCCAAACTCAAACCCAAACCCAGACCCAAACTCAAGCTCAGACTCAAACTCAAGCTCAGACTCAAACCCAACCCCAGCCCCAAGCCAGATGTGATGGTTTCATCTCCAGCTTTGCTGATCCCGCTCCCCTCTGCCCCGCCCCTCTCCCTGCAGAACGAGGTGTTCCCGGAGCCGCTGTTCACGTGGACGCGCGTGGGGAGCCGGCTCCTGGACGGCAGCGCGGAGCACGACGGGAAGGAGCTGGTGCTGGAGCGGGTCCCGGCCGAGCTGAACGGCTCCATGTACCGCTGCACGGCCCAGAACCCGCTGGGCTCCACCGACACCCACACCCGCCTCATCGTCTTCGGTACGGCCCCGCCGCGGCCCCGCCGCGCTCTCCGCGGGCCCCTGCGCGGTGCCTCCCCCCTAAAATTGTCTCTCTGCTCTTTGCTTCCCGCTAGAAAATCCAAATATTCCCAGAGGGCCAGAAGACTCCAACGGTGAGCGGTGCTGGCGGCACTGGGATTTCCATGGAGATGCTCAGGGAGGGAAGGGCCGTGTGGAGAGGGCCTGGCCCTGCCTTGGCCCTGGCCCTGGGCCACCTCTCCTTGTCTCATTCCAAGCACTCACCCATCTCTCCTTGCCTTGTCCCAGGCTCGTGCCCATCCTTCCTTGACCCATCCCAAGCCCTTTCTGATCTGTCCTTGCCTCACTCCAAGCCCTTTCCCATCTCTCCTCACCTCATTCCAAGCCCTTTCTGATCTCCTAGCCTCATTCCCAGCCCTTTCCCATCTCTCCTCACCTCATTCCCAGCCCTTTCCCATCTCTCCTTGCCTCATTCCCAGCCCTTTCCCATCTCTCCTCGCCTCATTCCCAGCCCTTTCCCATCTCTCCTTGCCTCATCCCAAGCCCTTTCCCATCTCTCCTTGCTGCATTCCATGCCCTTTCCCATCTCTCCTCATTCCCAGCTCTCTCCAATGTCCTCAGGAACATCCTCCCACCAAAAGGGACCCCACAGCTGCTCCCACCCCATCCCTCATCTCCACCCGACCCCACCCAACCCCCAGGCCAAGTTTTGCGGGGTGGGGGGGTCCCCTCCTAACCAGTGGTGCCCCCATCCTGCTCTAAACCCAGCGTTGGGATGGGGCTCCATGAACTCCTGATCCCTTTTTCCTCCTCTCCAGGTTCACTTCCCGGCCACTGCGGCTTCAGATTCATTTTGGCGCTCACCCTGACAGTGATCCTGGAGCTCACGTGAAGCTTCACCGCCTCCTCCTCCTCTTCCTCCTCCGTGTCCGGCTCCTCCTGGCATTCCTGCCTCCAGCCATCGGGTCTCCCGCTCTTTTTTTTTCTATACTCTCGACAGTCTCGGTCTCTTTCCGTGTCTTGGCTTCCTCAGACGATTGAATTAAAAGGAAAAAGGAAAACCTCTTCTGGGAGAAGGTCGTAATTCATGTTTTACCTGTGCTGGGATTCCCAGCTCCATCTCGGGGTTCCCAGTCCCATATTGGGGTTCCCAGCTCCATATTGGGGTTCCCAGCACCACCTCGGGGTTCCCATCTCTGTCTCGGGATTCTCAGTTGCATCTTGGGGTTGTCAGCTCCATGTTGGGGCTCCCAGCTCCATCTCGAGGTTCCCAGCTCCATCTCGGGGTTCCCAGCTCCATCTCGGGGTTCCCAGCACCATCTTGTGGTTCACAGCTCCATTCTTGGGCTTTGTCTTGGGGGCTTTGCAAGGTCTTGGAAGGGGGAGCAGGAGAATTCAAGGATTCAAAGACCAAATTTTCCCTGGAGAAACCCGCGTGCAGCATTCCCACTGCCCCGAGATGCTCCAGGCCCTGTATCCCCAGGGTGAGGACCCGCACTCGTCCCCAGCCCTCCCGAGGCCGTGGAGGCGGCGCCGGGAGCCCAAAGTCGTGGATCACTGGGTTTATCCGGTGGGATTCCGGCTGTGCTGGGAGCCAGGGCCCGTGCGCGCCGCTCGTCCCGGGCTGGCTGAGGAATGACAAGTGACAGGCGGCTCCCGACCCCAAATGTCAGCGCTCACACTTGAGCGGGCAGCGTGTCCCGTCCCCTCGTGGCCAGCTGTCCCCATGGAAACGGGCTGGATCCGGCCATTCCCGCCGTGCCCCATCCCGGCACGGCATCAATCCCGCTGCACGACGGCCCCTGGCAAAATCCAGGTGGTTTTGCCCCAATCCTGGAGGTTTTCCAGCCTTTTCCTCACTGTGGAGCACCCGGCTGTGGGCCGGGATGTCCTGGGGGGAAAGGATCCCGAGGATGGGGCGCTCCCAAGCCTTTTCCTCTGGGAACTCGCAATCCTGGGGGATTATTTGGCAGCCGTGTGGTGCCTCATCTTTCCCAAGCCCCACACGAGCGCTAAGCATCATTATCACCGTGATGATTAATTATTATTAAGCAGATCCCAGCCCTTCCCCGCTCCGTTGCCAACCTCGCTGCTTTCCCAGCCTCGGAGGAGCTGAACGAGCCCATGGCAGCTCCAGAGCTCCTTCCCATACGGAATCCCAGAGTTTTACCCTTCGGATTGGGAGCAGTGGGATCAGGACTGGCCGGGACGTGTGGGAGGATCAGCAGCTCCGCTTCCACCCCCAAGGAATGGCATCCAAACATCCCAATCCCATCGGATCCGCGCTTCCACTCCACGGACGAGAGGAAAATCTTCATTTTTTCAGAGGAAGCGTCGTTTCTTCAGGAATTCTCCCTGCCTCAGTTTCCCCCCACGCCCTGGAGAGCCCCTCCCATGGATCCTTCTGGCCTTCCTCATGGATCGGAGCCGCTCCAGCGGCCTCATCCCGCCCTAATTAAACAACCACCAGGATTAAACAGCCATTAGGCCTCCCCGCTTGGAAAAGCGAGCATTTCCAGCCGCCCGAAGCTCCATTTAAATGCAAATGTGGCGGGTTTAGCCCAGAACCGTGGAAATGAGGAGCATTCCCGTGGAAACGAGGAGCAATTCCAGCGGCAGGGCCTCCACCGGCTCCGCTCGGTGCCACCCCGGGAGCGCTGGGACGGGAACGCCGGCCTGGGTGGGGCTGCATCCCAAACCCACCCCAATTCGGGATGCTCTGGGAAGGATCCCTGGGAAAAGGGATGGATCTCCTGGCTGGATGGCTCGACCAGATGCTGGGACCTTCCGAGCGCCAGCGCAGACAGATGAATGAGGGGATTTGGGAGCTTCTCCCCATTTTGGGGCAGAGCTGCTGCCTGTGTTCCTGAATTCCTGCCAAAACGAGGCGCACAAAGGGATTCCATCCCACCATCCCACCAAAGGGATCCATCCACGCTCTGCCGGACCCTCCCTTCCCCTCCCCGCCCTCTCCCTGCAGGTGCTCGCAAAGGACCCCAATTTCCCCCCCTTTTCCCCCCATTCCCGATCCCGTTGTTGGAGGCGCCGGCAGTGAATAATGCAGGAGGAGGCTGGAGGGGAAAGGAGCGGCTCAGGTTGTTCCATTATTGATGAGAGCTGACAGATCCGCTGCTGACAACCTTCCGAGGAGATCTGATTAGCTCGGAAAAAAACAACACCGAAACCGCAGCGCCTTCGCGAGGGGCTGACGGCGGCTGAAAACCCCAAAGGAGCGGCGTTATCGACGCTCCCGAATTCCAGGGGACTTTCAAAAAAGGTTCTAGCAGGTTTGGAAGAGGTAATTACGCTCAATTAGAGTCACAAGCGCCGAGACGTCAGCGCCGCTTCTCCCGCTCCCCTCACACCGCAGGCAGGGATAAACGGGGATTTATCCAGCGGAATCCGTGGATTCTTTGGGATAGCAGGAACCGGGGGTGCTCCGGCCCTGCAGGAAAGTCAGCGGGAGCTTCGCTCGGCGCCTCCCCCGCCTCCCCCCTCACTGCCGGCTGCGTTCACGGGGCTGCCGAGCGCATGAATTATTCATCATCCTCATCCTCCTCCTCCTCGGCTCTCAAGCGCCGGGGTCTTTGCGGATCCAGCCGCGGGATGAAAGCCCCGGCAGGGGCGGTGAAGGGCCCGGGAGGTCGCGGCTGCCAGACCCTTTCCCAATTAGCCGAGCCCTGGAACGCGTGCCCAGACTCCACACGCGGCCCTCCTCCCTCAGCTCCGGCACCGCCCGGGCCTCCAGGCAGGAGAAATTCTCCTTTTCCCAAGGTTTTGGCCAAACCGAGCCCCCCAGGGGTGGATTTTGGGACTCTGTCCCCAGCAGGATGGAGGAGAGGCCGGGTGGGCTTGGCTGGGGCTGTTTTGGATGCCTGACACCACCCGTGCTCCAAAACCCAGCTTTGAAGTGAAATATCTCAATTCCCCCTGTGCTGCATTTCCCCTCACAAGGGGACAACACCCCAAATATTCCCCTAAATATCCTAAATTAATCCTAAATAAAATATCCCAAATATCCTCTCTTGGTGGATCCGTGTTCCCAGCAAGGACGAGCACAGGGATCCCTGAGTGCTGAACCAGCCTGGGGGCATCATTCCTGTGCTCCCTTTCCATCCTTTTTAGGGATACAAAACCTTTTTCGGTGTTTAGGACAGGATCCTCCAGCTGGAGGGTCGGGGGACCCAGCCCCATCCCCTCCACCACGGGAATTTCAGCCTTCCCGGGAATTTCAGCATCCCAGCCTGGGCCGGGGGACACCTCAACACTCAGGGATGCCAGGGATGGTGGAGAACCTGGCCCGAGGGGGTTCAGAGGCTGCTCCCCATCCCAAAATCTGGGGAAGCGGCTGGTGGGATGAGGTTTGGGAAGCTGAGGACACCGGGAGTGAATTCCTGAGCTCCCACCTCCCACTGGAGACCCCTGGCAGGGCCCCCTCGCACCGCAGCCACCCACGGGCAGGGACTCGCACACCCTCCACGTCCCCTGGGTTCATCCCTGAGGAAAATCCCACCGGGCTGGGATGGAGCCAGCAGGGAGCAGTCCCCGAGTGCAAACAGGAGCTCCCACCCACGCCCAGTTTGGCTCTTCCTTCCCTCGCTCTTTTCCGCCTCTCCCTGAAGCTCCCCTGGGTCCGATCCCCTTGGGTTCCGCTCCCCCGGCAGCGGTGGCAGCGATGCCGTTCCCCAGGCTCCCGCCTTTCCCCCCACCCCACCGTGCTCCCACTTTTATCGTCTTAGGGACAAAAACTCCCCAAAATCTTCGGAATTCAGGCCAGGAGTGGATCCACCACCAGCACCTTCCCCTGCCGTGCCTCAGTTTCCCCACGGTGATTCCGATACCTGCAGCGTCCCTCAGGACTGATGACTCCCATCCCTTCCCATCCCGAATTTCCCCCTGTTTTTACTCCTCCCTTCGCTCCTCTCCTCGTGCCCGCAGCTGAACTCCAGCCCCGCTTTCCTGCCCAGCTCCCGGATTTTCCCCCTTCCCGACGCCCCCAGCTCCTTTTCCACCAGCTCCTCCTTCTTCCACGGCGGCCTCCGAGAGACCCCACAAGCTCCGGGGCTCTTTCCCGTCAGCCCTCGTTAGGCAGCGCGCGGCAAACGAGGGCCGCTGAATTAATTAATCACTGAATTAATTAATCACTGAATCAGTTGCTGAATTCGTCACCCGGCCGTGCCGCGGAGCAGCTGCTCGGCATCAGCCCAAAGGGCTCCCGGCTGCCGCTCCCTCCCTTTTCCGGGAGCACCGAGGGATGAGGAGCCTTCTCTGGGCACAACAACTTTTTTTCTTTTTCCTCTTTTTTCATTGCGCGACCCTTTTTAAAGCACCGCAGAGGAGCAGCAGCTCCCCGGGGATGTTTTTCCTGCCTTGGTGCCCTTCCCCGAGCCTCTCTCGCCGTTTCCCAGGCCAACAGAGCCGGCCCTGGGCTGCACCTTTCCCTGGAGCCCAGCCCATCCCAAACATTCGCGGCTCCTCCGGAAGCCTCCTGCCAGCTCTGCCCGCTCAAAGTCACCTTGTCCCGGCCCGCCGCGCTCCGGCCTCTCCCGGCAAATCATTAATCGGCTCCTCGGCATTCCCGCATGGAAAAATGCCCCAGCGGGTGCCCCCGGCCTGGCACTCGGAGATGCCGCTGCCCGGGAAGCTGCTGCTGTCGGCGGCCGCGCTGCTGCTCCTGTCCCTGGCCTTCAGGTTTTATAGGAACCGCTCGCCTCCCCCGGGAAAAATCCCACCGGGAGAGCAGCGGGAAAACCGGGATGGGGATGGGGCTCTGAGGAGGGATGGGGGGGACAAATGTGGGAATGGCCCCGGGATGCAGCCCGCGGCTCTCCGGGGGGAGCAGAGCTTTCCAAGGAATGAGGAGGAGGAGGAAGGAGAGGAGGTGGGTTCGGAGCTGATTCTCAGGAAAGCCCCGCTCGGTCCGGCCGGGATGGAAAGGGAATGGGGAAGGAAACTGGGATGGAAGTTGGGAATTAAATCAGAAAGTGAAGCAGGGGTTGAGCTGGGGAGTGATCCCGGGAGCGGGACGGGAAGTGAGCTGGGAAGCGAGCTGGGAAGTCAGCCAGGAAGGAAGTCGGGAAGCAGGCTGGGAATCAAGCCGGGAAACAATCCAGGAAGAAAGCCAGGAAGCAAATTGATAATGAAGCCAGTAAATGAGTTGGGAAGTGAGCAGACAAACGAGCTGGGAAACAAGCTGGCAAAGAAATTGGAAATTGAGTCAGGAATCGAGCTGGGAAGCGAACCGGGAAGCAAGCTGGAAAGTAAGGCAGGAATTGAGGTGGGAAGAGAGCTGGGAAATGAGCCGGGAAGCAAAGCAGAAATTTTGCTGGGAAGTGAGCCGGGAATTTTGCTGGGAAGAGACCTTGGAAGCAAGGCAGGAGTGGAGGTGGGAAGTGAGCCGGGAATGTCGCTGGGAAGCGAGCGGGGCTCTCACGACCCCGGGGCCGTGGCCGGAGGCCGGGGCAGCCCCGCAGGGAGGGACGCAGCTGCTCCGGGCTCCGGGCATTCCCCAGGGATTCCCGACGCCCGGACAGAGGGGGATGGATGCGCCCAGAGCACGGAGCGGGATCCGGCTGGAGGAGCGGGGAGGAGCAGGGAGGGCAGCGCAGGGACAGTCCGGACCCTCAGCGTCACCTCCAGCCTGGGGCTGCTGCTGACGGCGAGAGAGGCGGGCTCGGACACCTCCCACTGCTTCTCCTCGGTGGCCAAGATCCAGGTGGAGGAGAACTTCATCCCGGAGCGCCGGGACCGGGACAGGGACAGCCTGCCCAGGCCTGGCCTGCGGGGCAAAGTCTACGACTACTTCGTGCAGTCCACCTCCGAGTCGGTGTCCAGGCGGACATCCCTGCCCTTCGTCCCTGCGGGGACACCCCGGTGTCACGGGGAGCGGGGCCAGGCGGAGCCACAGAGCTCCGGAACCCAGGGGGAGAATCCAAATTTGGAAATTCCTGATCCCGACACCGCCTCAGCTCCACATGAGGGCACCGAGAGCCCTCCAGAGCCACCTTCTCCCAGCAGCACCCTGGGGATCAGCCCCGAGCTCCCGCTGCCCGGTGCGGTTCCAGCTGCGGCTCCTGAGCCATCCCAGGTGTCACTGCCCAGCCAGGTGCACCTGGGGAACTGCTCCGAGGTTCTGCGCGCAGCCAAGGCGCGGCAGCTGCGGGCCCTGCAGGATGCTGCCCTCCAGGTGATGAGCAACCACCTCCTGCAGGTGCTGCGCTCCCCGTCCATCTACGGCCGCCTCAACGCCGGCGAGCGGGAGCTGCTCCCGGCGCTCCGCAGCCGCGGGCGGCCGCGCCTGGTGGTGGCCGATGTCCCCCCGGCTGAGCCCGGCCACCGCCGCGGCCGCCTCTGCTACTACGACGAGGACGGGGACCGCTGGTGCCAGCTGTGCCAGCTGCCGGCCGAGGTGGCCGGGCGGGGCTGCGCCGTGTGCTCCATGTTCAATTACCTGTTCCTGGTGCCCGGCTGGGAGGGGACAGGCCGGGCGCGGAGCCCCTCGTGCCGCGTGCTCTGCTACGACCCCCTGAGCGACAGCTGGTGCGACGTCTGTCCCCTGCGCCAGGCGCGGCCGCACTGCCAGCTGGTGGCCCTGGACGGCCACCTCTACGCCATCGGGGGCGAGTGCTTGGCCACCGTGGAGCGCTACGACCCCCGGTGCGACCGCTGGGCCTTCGCCGCCGCCCTGCCCCGGGACGCCTTCGCCGTGGCCCACGCGGCCGCCGCGTGCGACGGGGACATTTACATCACCGGGGGCACCCTGCGCTCGCTCCTGCTGCGCTACGACCCCCGCGGGGACAGCTGGGCCGCCAGCCCGGCCGTGGGTGACAAGGACAGGACGGCCGAGCTGGTGAGCGCCCACGGGTTCCTGTACCGCTTCCAGCTGCGGCGCGGCGCCGGTGGCACCCAGGTGGCCGTGTCGCGGTGCAGCGCCAGCGCCAGGCTGTGGTACCGCTGCGGCAGCCGCCCCCTGCCCGAGCCGGCCGGGCTGCGCTGCGCCGCCCTGGGAGGCCTCGTCCACTGCCTCGGCCGCGGTTTCCATCTCCGCTTCCTGGCCGACCCCGTCTCGCCGCGCTTCGGGGCCAAGGAGCTGCGGCCCTTCCCGGAGCCCCATGGGAGCCTCCTGCCCGCGGTCCTGGTGCTGCCCGAGGGGGGCACGGAGCCACCCCGGCCCTGAGGGGTCCCCAGGGAGCGGTGGCAGCTGGAGAAGGAGCCCCCAGGCTGTGCAATCCAGGCCCTCCATGGACCCGACTACTTCCCAACACTCCGGGATGCAGGAAGGGATCAAACCCTTGGATGCGGCCTCTTCCCATTCTCTGGGATGGAGAAAGGGATCAGATCCTTGGATGCGGCCTCTTCCCATTCTCTGGGATGGAAAAAGGGATCAGATCCTTGGATGCGGCCTCTTCCCACTCTCAGGGATGCAGGAAGGGATCAGATCCTTGGATCTGACCTGTTCCCACTGCCCGGGCTGGAGGAAGGGATCAAACCCTTGGATCCAGCCTCTTCCCACTTCCTGGGATGGAAAAAGGGATCAGATCCTTGAATCTGGTCTCTTCCCACTGCCCAGGATGCAGGAAGGGATCAAAGCCTTGGATCCGACCTGTTCCCACTCTCTGGGATGCAGGAAGGGACCAAAGCCTTGGATCCGACCTGTTCCCACACCCCGGGCTGGAGGAAGGGACCAAAGCCTTGGATCCAGCCTCTTCCCACACCCCAGGCTGGAGGAAGGGATCAAACCCTCGGGCCCTGCCGGGAATCGCAGCCCGGAGGAGGCTCCAGGAAGAGCCGGGAGGAGCTGGGCGGACTCGTTTGCTCAGGGGAGGTCAAACAGGGCCGTGTTTGTTTGGGCGGCAGCAAATCCCGGATCTCCGCGGGCTCCAGCTGTCCGGGCGCCCTTCGGGACCCGATTTGGACCTGATTTAGACCCGATTTAGGCTCCAGGTGGGGAACATTGACCCGGACACGGATGGGGAGCGGTTTAGGGTGGCGGTCGCGGAAGCTCCGCCAGCATCACTGGGACGCCTCGCTCACGCTGGGAAGAGTTCGGGGCTGGCCTCGTTATCTCTTATCTCGTTATTTCTCACCTCCTCCTCCTCCTCCTCCTGAGAGCGCAGTTGTCTGTGTTTAATCTCTGTGTAAAGCGGCGCCGGGGGTTTAGGCACAGCTGGGCCTAAATTAAAGCGAACATTCGGTGAAATGAACCCCGCGCCTCGTTTTAAGCCGAGCCTAATTGGAGGCAGGAGCGCGCTGCTTGTTCGACATCGCTAATTAGGCACGGCCGGCAGCTCCGGGGAGGCGAGCAGGGAGCAGCGCTCCCTCATCCCCTTTTCCCAGATTCTCCCGCCTCAGACGCTCCCCCATCCCTTTTTCCCAGTTTTTCCCAGCTCAGACATTCCCTCATCCCCTTTTCCCAGTTTTTCCCAGCTCAGACATTCCCTCATCCCCTTTTCCCAGTTTTTCCAGGAGCAGACCCTCTCTCATCCCCTTTTCCCAGTTTTTCCTGGCTCAGACATTCCCTCATCCCCTTTTCCCAGTTTTTCCTGGCTCAGACATTCCCTCATCCCCTTTTCCCAGCATTTCCCAGCTCAGACATTCCCTCATCCCCTTTTCCCAGCTTTCCCAGGAGCAGGTGCTCTCTCATTCCCATTTTCCCCCAGCTTTTCCTAGGTTTTCCCACCTCAGACACTCCCTCATCCCTTCTTCCCAGTTTTTCCAGGAGCAGATGCTCTCTCACTCCCTTTTCCCAGCTTTTCCCACCTCAGACACTCCCTCATCCCTTTCCCCCAGTTTTTCTGGGAGCAGACCCTCTCTCATCCCCCTTTCCCAGTATTTCCCAGCTCAGACATTCCCTCATCCCCTTTTCCCACCTTTTCCAGGAGCAGGTGCTCTCTCATTCCCATTTCCCCGCCAGCTTTTCCCAGGTTTTCCCGGCTCAGACACTCTCTCATCCCCTTTTTCCAGCATTTCCCAGCTCACACACCCCCTCATCCCCTTTTCCCAGCTTTCCCAGGAAATCACTGCTCATCCCACAATTCCAGAGGGGCTGGGGGAAAGGAGCTTAAATCCCCCCCAGTTCCACCTCCCGCTACCCCAGGCTGCTCCAGCCTGGCCTGGGACACTCCCAGGGATGGGAATTCCAGGTTTTTTAGGGAATTTCGCGGCTGCTCGGGGAGGTTTAGGAGAGCCCGGGTTAAGATTCTCTCCCAAAGCGCTCCTGGAAGGATTCCTGGCACCGCCTGGAGCCTCCGGACGGAGGGCAGGGAACCTTGGGAGGCTGCGTTAATTAATGAGCCTGGGGCCGCGGTAATTAATTAACCCAGGGCCGCGTTAATTAACAAACCTGCCCAGGCTGCTTCTGCGGGTGGGGGTGGGTGAAGGACCCCTCCCTGCCATGGGAAATGCAGGAATGTGTCGGAGCACGAGGATTTTTGGGATTCGCGGAATTTCCCAGCTGAAACATCCCAAAAAGAGACTCTGGGAGATGGGAGGCGGCAATTCCAGGCGGGATGATCCCTCTGGGATGGCCCCGGGGCAGGGGAGGGGGAAAATAAAGGGAAAAGGACAAATCCAAACCCACACTCAGACCTGGAGGTTTCACTCCCTGCTCCAAAATCCCAAAGGTTTTGTCCTTTCCCTGCTCCCAAACCCTGAAAGTTTGGTTCCTTCTCTCCCAAATCCCAAAGGTTTGGTTCCTTCTCTCCCAAATCCCGAAGGTTTGGTTCATTCTCTCCCAAATCCCGAAGGTTTGGTCCTTTCCTACCTCCCAAATCCCAGAGGTTTGGTTCATTCCATGCTCCCAAATCCCAAAGGTTTGGTTCATTCTCTCCCAAATCCTGAAGGTTTGGTTCATTCCATGCTCCCAAATCCCAAAGGTTTGGTTCATTCTCTCCCAAATCCCGAAGTTTTGGTCCTTTCCCCGCTCCCAAATCCCAAAGGTTTGGTTCATTTTCTCCCAAATCCTGAAGGTTTGGTCCTTTCCTCACTCCTAAATCCCAGAGGTTTGGTTCATTCCATGCTCCCGAATCCCAAAGGTTTGGTTCGTTCTCTCCCAAATCCCAAAGATTTGGTTGGTTCCCAGCTCCCAAATCCCGAAGGTTTGATCCCTTGTCCAACTCCAGGTTCCTTCTCCCACCCCGGGGCCATTCCAGAGGGATCATCCCGCTGCTGCCGGGCTGGAATTCCCACCTCGCTCATCCCAGAATCTTTTTTTTTATTTTTTGGGATGTTTCAACCCAGAAATTCCGTGAATCCCAAATCCTCCTTATTTTCCCCATCATTATTTAACTCCTTGCTCCTCTCGCTCGCGCTCCCCCCACATTTCTGCTTTTCCCACGGCGAATTCCCGGTGCTGGAGCTTTCCAGCCCCTTGGAACGCGCGGACCCTTCCCGTGCCCATCCCAAATCCCGATTTTTGCCCTTTCCCCGTGACCGCTGCAGAGGAGAGCTCCCGGTGGGTGGGAGCGCGGCCCTGGAGCCCTTCCAGAGGACATTGGATTGTTTTCCATCCCAGGAAAGCTTTCCCAGATCCCGCCTCGCTGCCGGCGCCGTTTCGTGTTTCACCTTCCCCTTAACCCCTTCCTGCCCGCCGAGCCCGCGTTCCCCAGGGATGAGCGCCAAGGACGGGGCGCGGGCAGCGCTGCCTCCCCCGCTCCTGCACTCTCCAAGATTAATTTTGGGAAGCATTTGGGAGATTAAAAATGCCTGGGACATCCCGGCCTTGTCCTGCCGGGAAGGACACGCAGGCCGGGAGTGTGTGGGAATGACTTTGGGATGAGGGAAAGGGAAAACAAAGGGAAAAGGACAAATCCAAACTCAGGCTCACACCGGGAGGTTTCATTCCCTGCTCCCAGATCCCAAAGGTTTGGTTCCTTCCCTGCTCCCAAATCCCAAAGGTTTGGTTCCTTCTCTCCCAAATCCCAAAGGTTTGGTTCCTTCTCTCCCAAATCCCAAAGGTTTGGATCATTCCCTGCTCCCAAATCCCAAAGGTTTGGTTCCTTCCCTGCTCCCAGATCCCAAAGGTTTGGTTCCTTCCCTGCTCCCAGATCCCAAAGGTTTGGTTCATTCCCTGCTCCCAGATTCCAAAGGTTTGGTTCCTTCTCTCCCAGATCCCAAAGGTTTGGTTCATTCCCTGCTCCCAAATCCCAAAGGTTTGGTTCCTTCTCTCCCAGATCCCAAAGGTTTGGTTCCTTCTCTCCCAAATCCCAAAGGTTTGGTTCATTCCCTGCTCCCAGATTCCAAAGGTTTAGTTCCTTCTCTCCCAAATACCAAAAGTTTGGATTGTGACCTACTCCCAAATCCTGAAGGTTTGAATCATTCCCTGATCCCAAATCCCAAACGTTTGATTAGTTCCCTGCTCCCAAATCCCGAAGATTTGGTTCATTCCATGCTCCCCAATCCTGAAGACTTGTTTCACTCCCTGATCCCAAATCCCAAAAGTTTGGTTGGTTCCCTACTCCCAAATCCCAAAGTTTTGGTTCTTGCCCTGCTCCCAGATCCCAAAAGTATGGTTCTTTCCCTGCTCTGGAGCCTCTGGAAGTCTCCCAAATCCCAAAGGTTTGGTTCATTCCCTGCTCCCAAACCCAGCACTGGGAAGAGCCTCTGGAAGTCTCCTAAGTCCCGAAGGTTTGGTTCTTTCCCTGTTCCCAAATCCCAAAGGTTTCGTTCATTCCCTGCTCCCAGATTCCAAAGGTTTAGTTCCTTCTCTCCCAAATACCAAAGGTTTGGATTGTGACCTACTCCCAAATCCCAAAGGTTTGGTTCATTCCCTGATCCCAAATGCAGGAGGTTTGATTAGTTCCCTGCTCCCAGATCCCAAAGGTTTGGTTCATTCCATGCTCCCCAATGCCAAAGGTTTGGTTCACTCCCCGACCCCAAATCCCAAAGGTTTGGTTCATTCCCTGCGCCCAAACCAGCACTGGGAAGAGCCTCTGGAAGTCTCCTAAGTCCCAAAGGTTTGGTTCTTTCCCTGTTCCCACATCCCAAAGGTTTGGATCGTTCCCTGATCCCAAATCCAGGAGGTTTGATTAGTTCCCTGTTCCCACATCCCAAAGGTTTGGTTCATTCCGTGCTCCCCAGTCCTGAAGACTTGTTTCACCCCCTGCTCCCAAATCCCAAAGGTTTGGATCGATCCCTGATCCTAAATCCAGGAGGTTTGATTTGTTTTCTCCTCCCAAA